GGTCTTTGTGAGGCTGCGGGCTGGTGCTTGAAGCGGCGATGAGATGGCGCAGCTCTACCGGAAGGGCGTCGAGATGAATGGCGTGCACCAGCGGCTCGTTCGTTAAGCAAGTCACCTCAAGAACGGAACAGCATTGAGATGCATAAACCATATTTTGGTGTAGGTCAATTGAAACGGCGGCCCTGGCGGGCAGAATCGCAGGAACGTGGCTGCCGGTGGCTCGTCGAAGGGCGCGTTCTCCAAATCACCACTGTAGCAGCGGGAAAGAAAGACATGAGACGACGTCGAAGGCAGCCGACGGGGCCGTGCCGATCTCGCCACTTTATTCCAGGCCTGAAGTGGGGCCGCAGTGGCTGCCAGCATCCGGACCACCAGGCGCGTGACTTTGTTCTGTTCTCGCGCAGCTGAAGCTAGCTCGAACTGCGCGAGAGGTGCGGCGCTGTGGTTAAAAATGATGATGATCATCGTGGCACTACAAACTTTCAGATGTGCTTCAAGCCTTTCTTAGCTATTTTAGGAAACCAGGTTAAGAATCTCAGTGGGCCGTACAATCTTGCGGTTGCTTACTGGGTAAAGATCTTGGTGGCAATGCGAAATTTCACAAAGTCAAGGAGAAGCCAAGGGTAAAATGACAGGTTATAGCTATCTGGATGCCAAACTCACCCAAGAATCTTCCAAGCACGCAGTGGCTCGCTGAAGCTCTCCACAACCTTGTTTCAGGGGATCATGCTTGCAAAAGGATTGTTCGTTTGATACCCTTTTATTAGGTTTTATAGCAGCGGCAGCAAATGATTCCGTTGTTTCTGTGCACGACTTGATAGCTTCCTAGAAGTTGTCGGCTCCAGTGATTATATCATCTATGTAGGTGCGATATCGCAGCTTTCAAACAGTATCAGGATGCTCCGGGTACAACTGTTTAAATGAAGTTGCATAGTTGCCGCGAGAAGATACGGGCTTGAACTTGGAACAAAAGAGACCCCTTCGTCATCTATAAAGTGATCAGTTTCAGGAGCGACTGGTCAGGCATGGCAGGTTTCTCAGACCGTAACTATCGCAAGACATTTCTATCAGCTTTTTTGATGAAAATTTACAGAAACACATTTTCAATGTCAGACACCATAGTGATGCGGTGGCGACTAAAGCTGAACAGTAGGCTTAGTAGATCTGTGTTCAGGTTGGGCCCACTGTAGAGACTGTCGTTGAGAGAAATGTGTTCTTTTGCAAGCGAAGAAGCCTCAAAGATAACTCATGTCTATGTTTACCCCTCTTCTTTGATTACGGTGTGGTGAGGCATATATTATACTGGGCCCTTTGCGAATATTGTGTCGTTGACTACTTCAGCCATGCCGTATTTGGCATACTTGGGGGTGGTCGTGTATTGTGATGTCAGGAACCCTGAGTTTCAATGAAGCCCTTTTGTCATCGGACTTAGCCGTCTTTGTGCTGCAGCTTTATTTTCGTCGCGTAGAATTTCTGTTTAAGACAGAGGTCATACTTGGCGACTTACTGAACGGTTTCTTCAGAGTATGTCACACCATGTCCGCCTTCGTTCAGTGGTGATTACATTCCTACGGAGTCAACATTCTACAATCTTCCGATTGCATCATCAAAATACACAGCTAATACGTTCAGAACCATAACTTCTGTGCACAGTTCTTTTAGGTTGGATGTTGCTAGTCCATGAATTATCCAGCCAACTACTGTTTCCACTGCTCCTAAACCTTGGTGCAAGAATTTCGCTTGGCCTGTCACAAGTTCCCAGTAATGGTCGGCTCTGATAGGGTCTCTATTAACGCCTAGTCAGCGTGTTTGGCTGGAAACTCGAAACCAACAATTAGAAGCCCGTGGTTTGACATTTCTTTAAGTACACTTGCTTTAGGTAAAGGGACCTGTTGATAACAGATATTCTAAATGAAAAGTGCAACTATGCTGTATTTATATTTTTCATATGCGCCATCGAGTTGCAGTGTAATTCCTCAAATGCTTCTCTTGTGGCCACAGAAGAATCTCACTGACAAGTTTTCGTGGTCCGTCATGTTGCACTTTACTTTTTTTCGCAGGTCTGCATGTAACGAACGTTCTCTGACTTCTAGCATCTAAAATAATGGGCATGACGGCTTTTTTCAGACAGGAAGACGCATGTACGATCGCATTGTGAGATAAATAAGCCGTTGTCTCATGACCGCTGGCAGACGAAGAAATGTGACCACATTCTCAGAAGCGGAACCCACAAATCTTGGCTCGCACACGGTCATCGCACATCCTCGATAACATTTTAGGCAGCTGACCATTCTGTGACAATTCGTCGGCAGATGACATTGCATCGTACATCTGAAGCAGCGACCATTTTGCTGAAAGTCGGTGTTCTTTTCTGTGAAATGAGCGTGGCTTTGCGATCTTGGTAGTGTGTTCGTCACTATTGCAGATGAAACAGATGGTTCGTGTGCTGTACTTTGAAGTTGACGCTACTTGTCTCGACGTGCTTGATTTACATGCCTTCTTTTTTTATCAGCACGCCTCAGTTGGTTTATATCGCTGATTTCGGTCCCTGTTGACATCCCAGGACACAAAGCGTTCTCGCACTCCAAATTCTCTGCGGTTAAAGTCAAGTATAAATCATAAGGTGCTCTGCAATGCAGAAGACGTCTGCTCACTCACGCCGTTGTACCCTTAAGGTGACAAGTGTTGGTGGACGTGTACGCCACGCCTGTAGTACTGGGGTAGCCAGCTCTCGCGGTAAACTTCTGATGTTGATCGGTCACAAAAATGTCGAAAACAACTCCTTTATCATATTCTACGCCCGCACACCACGAATACTGCCATACAAGTGACGCACTTTGCTGTTGACCGAATGGTTTGTGAGTCGATGAGATGCTTAACCTGGTTTTTGACGATGACGGCTTCCTTAGTGAACCATGCAACGAGGATGAACTGTGCGTCATCATAACACCTCGAACCAGCAAGTAATTCAGCGATAGCTGCAGCGGTGGGGCCTTTCAGTGTTGATCTCAAAGGCAAACGTGTCTACATTCTTGAAAATGGGTTTTTCGTGAACGACGTTTTGAAGCTGTCCCGAAAATGAAGGCCAGTTGTGAGGCGTTCTGTTAATAATACAGCTGTTATACTCAGGGAAGCCTCATGCTATGACTAGCGGTCGGGGCATCCGTCGTGGTAACAGCTAGGTTTCCCGGTGCATGTTCTGCCAATGGATGCAACTGCAGGACCCGATACTTCAGTTTGGACGAATAAGTAACAGCCTTGCCTATGTACTCGGAAGCCAGAACGAATTCTAGCTCACTATCATGGCTCATTAATACGGCTCTGTCGCTCAGTCAAGAGATTTCAGCTGGCCTGTATTACCTTGAAATAAATATGCGAGTACATGAAGATCATTCAAGCTTCCTTCGCAGTTTGAAATAATCGCCTCGGATTCACTTGCGAGCTTCGTTGAAATGATGGGACGAGCTTTGCCCTTGGCTTTACGTAAGTCCGTGATGGTGCTTGGTTGAGACGTAGCAGCCCGAATGACTGGTAAGTCGAGATCGTAACAAGACACTTCTCTGCCCTCGGTTGCTGTAGATGCCGTAGTTCGATTACTTTTGGCGGGTTTCCGGTGCCAATTTGAAGAGAGTGACTCCTTCGGTAGATGATTTAAAGGCTTTATTGCCGTAACAAACTCATTCTTAACCTGTTGGTCAACCAGGCAAGAATAGAATGAGTCTGCTGGAATTGAGCAGCGCGTGAAGTTGCAACCTGCTATAGTATAAACTTGGACTCTACGTAACACATTTGGGCCTGCATATCATGGTGTTCAGGCTTGAACATAAACAATATTCTACCTACAGGAAATACGTAAATTTAAACTTCATGTGTACCCTACATCGCACTATATATTATTTGTGGCGCAACCCAGTCAAGAAAAGAAAAGAGGGAGACAGGATGGGGCGCCAATCTAGCAACTAGTTTTTTATTGAAAATTCGCTCTTCATTTGCACATTCTTGACCACGTGATATTTTCAGCACATTGATGAATTCAAGAACAGCATTTCTTTCTCTGATAACATTAACGACGGTGAGCTTACACAATTATCTTCTTCAATGATTATGGTCTTTGCTTCGATGATTTCACGAGTACACTTATTTTTGTGCCGCCTGATCATTATACATATTGAATACATAGGTGGAGAACCACAGCGATTGCAATGCGTGTAAGCTATGAATTTCCAACTCGACCAGGAAGCAGCACTGCTACATCGCACCTTCGTGTGAGGCCTCGGGCTAGTGTGATCTTCCCTAGAGGTGTGGCTTCACCACATCAAGGCATTGCACAGCAGTAAAACCATTTTTGAGGAGATTACACGCAGTAAAAATATTTACACTCGCACATTTTCTAGAGTTTGATACTATGAAATTTTTAATTTCTTTACGAATTGGATTCAAATGCTTTAGTAGTTGTCTAAATATTCATAACACTAGAATAGGGACTCATTCCTAGATACGTACTATACCCGGTTGAGGTCAGAATATTGGGAGGTCAGAAGAACACTGAATGCAAGGACACACATGGCACAGCACATGGCCCAAGTGACGATGAAGTAAGCAGGTTACATGTTATATGCAATTATATAAGGAATAGTGCTTCCAAGCCAGCCGGTGCAGAGTTTCTGTAATATAATGAAGCTAACTTTAACTCAGTAATAGGTCACTGAACACACATGTTCAACAGGTGCATTAGGAAACACCAGAGAAGGGGCCTTATAACGGTACAAGAGAGCGAAATATTTGAGCGTGCTTTGGTTGAATCAACTGAATTATATACTATAGGACATCGCATATATTTATTTAGCGGTGGTGCGTATCAGGCGATGCAACTCTCCTCACCCGGCATATACCCGCCGCCATGAAAAGATCACATACTAGTTCTAGCTGCATTCACAACAGCCAGTTAGGTACTCGAGTCAGCAAAGAGAACAAAACATAATTTTAACATCTTTCGGCAGTTCAACGCCAGTTTGACCGCTTCTGGATTGGACTTCAGAGGTCGACGAGCGGTATCTACAAGTGGGAGACCGGTGAGCTGTTGCACGACTTCGCCTGGCACCCCCGGACGGACTACAGGCACAGCGCAGGCACACTCTTCGTCGATCGATATTTCCTCCAAAGGGGTCTCTCGATGCGATTTTCTCTCGAAGATCCCAGTCGAAAGCTTCCTTTTATATGCCAAGCTCCCCTGAGAACAGGTATGCATTCGTTTTTTCACTGTGGCCCTATTGTTGCTTCAATTGCGGTGTTTTGCAGCATTTTGCAGCTTCAATTGCCGTGTTTTGCAGCAACTGATGCGATGACGAAGTGTCATCGCATCAGTTTTATGTGCCCTTAAGGAAAAGCCTCTAGCAATATAAACTTATTGCTGTATACACCGTCCAAGTATCTCTGTTGCTCACTTCGTCACGCAACTTAATTCTCCGCCATGATCGATCATGAAGTGTGTTTTGTTTACATAAAATTTCTTACTGTTAATTTTCATATCAGCAAGCAACAAGCATGACAGTAACTCTTGAATTCGGCGTTGCCTGCGTTAAAGGATCAATGCAACATTTTTGACGAACGCATACTTTACTTGTAGATAATATACCTTGATAGTTGTGTATAATTCAAGCATGGGTCCATGCCACGGTATTAATATTTTGTTTTCATGGTAAAACGCGTGAGCACACGAGACAAGACAGAAAGGACTCGGTGCTGGCTGGCAACATGAGTGTTTATTTGATGCTTACAGTGCGCGGAGTGTGCCTCCACTCCTAGTTTTGTGCATACGCGTGTGTTGCGCAGATATCATGATTGCCGTGTCCGCAAAAACTTCGAAGCGCGTCAAACTTATTCCATTGAACTATCGTGTGTAGTGTGTCTCGCACTGCATAAACTGACATAGGTAGTAATTACATTAGCATTTGGACAATGCATTTTCATCAAATAGAAAGCACGCATGCGTGGAGCTTCCCTTTTTTCAGCATATTTGCTTTTTTTACTTTAAGAAAAGCATGTATATTGTACAAAACAAGCGTTCTGGTCATAGGCCAGTGGCAAGTCCTCTCTGTATTTTTTTGCTTTGCCTCGTTTGTCCGGGCTGTTTCCTGTTATAAAGAGACGATAACAAAGTCAATACCCTTTTTATGATTTCTAGTTATTATTTTGATCACGCAATTGAATAACTACACAATTTCCAAGTGCATCTACACGTAACTACGCTCGCCTTATGTAGAGCGTCTTTAGAGCGTACAAGCAGCGTTTTTGCCGGCATTCTTATGATGTTTTTTACACCGGCATCACTTAGCGTCACCGCTATCGTTGATGGCGGCCTAGACTATAGTAAAAACGTCTACTTCAGGACATTAAAGATATCTACAGCGCCAGCGTTGACGAAGAACCAATCTGCGTGCGGCTGGCAGCGAATTTCGCTACGTAACAACATCGTCACTGCTGCATTAAATAGCTGCCGCCCGTCTCTTATTTATTAGGTCGTCGCTGTGCTTTTTATACCAGGCATTATTATTATTATAATAATAATAATAATAATTTCTTATTATTATTATTATTATTATTATTATTATTATTATTATTATTATTATTATTATTATTATTATTATTATTATTATTATTATTATTATTATTATTATTATTATTATTATTATTATTATTATTATTATTATTATTAACTAATATTTGTCAGAATTTAACGTCTTAAACCCATCAAAGGATTACGAGGAACGCTTTAGCGAACGGCTGTTCTATAAAAATATTGGTCCTGTATCTGCATGCTTCACTGCAAATTTGGATGAAAGACGATGTTTGCATCTGAAGAGAGTGAACAAAAGGTTTACTTTATGTTCTGCACGGAAAAAATGGTGAATTGTATTCTGGAGGCGCTGCGTTGGAGTGTCTCAATGCGTGTAGCGAAGGCGAACGTGCACATCGAGGCACGTTTGACACAAGCGCTATCTGGCAGTTACCTTTGAAAACTAAGGAAAGCGTGCGCGCCGGTCTCTGAGGCGATTCGGTGTAGAACGCAAAGCGACAGGGAGGTGCCACTACCATGCCGTCCGAGCAAAGCGTTGGAAACACTTGCCGTTTTGTGCATAGCGTTGCATTCTCAGCGCAGCGTGATGAACTGTACGGTCTCTAGAATTACTTATGTGTGATTTCTTTAGTGTAAAGCTACACATACGAAATATTGACGCAAAATACAATTAAAGTTTGCGCGCTAGCCGTTTGCTACGCCCTCAAAGTTGCCTGTGGTGTACTTGCGAAACAGAGCAAGCGAAGCGTCAACGGGGACTACCAGGATAGACATTGACAACTCACGCACGTGCGAGCTGTGCGGGATAAAAGAAGACGAGGTGCTGAACTTAAAAGTGAAGGTTTACTGGACATAAACGTTTTCTCTCACTTGTGTGTTTGTGGGCCGCAAGTTCACCCGTTTTAGCTATTTTATTAAAGTCTACTTTTCAACTGTGCGTGACAATAATGACGGGTTGTTATAGTGCCTCAAATATGCGCAATAATTGATTTTAATTGAAAATCGCACAAGTATGAACGCTGAAACTTGGAATTGTTGGTGCTGGGAATTGAATTGGCTGTTTTGGGTATCAATTCGAGCCGTTTGAGGTATCATTACGGCGGACGAACGAAGAAATTTACAGACAGACAGACAAAAATTTTGCGGCGTAGTACCCCAAGAAAGGCTATCGCATTTAAAAATATCTGAGAGGAGAAAAAAAGTAGCTTTATCAGAGCATGAGGTACATTTGCATTCTGCGCAGTGAAAGGACACGTGGCTATTAGGCCTACCTTTAGGTGAAGTATGGTGTTCACTAAGTCGAGAATCTACAAACCATTGAGACTGTCCGACATATGGTGACTAAATAACATTGGCAAATGGTGTGCACCATCTTTCTTGCTGCGTTTTTTATACTTAATACTGTAGCTCAAGTCACATTTCCTAGCCGAGCTATGCTTTCCTTTGTTGTAAATACGCTCAAGCACGGGGCAAACATAGCTAAGTTTTTTCGCGGAAAATGTGACATATACATATACAAAATTTCAGATTAGGTTTATGTAGTTTTTGTGTTGTTGGGCGAAGTCATTTCGCGTGACCAGTTGTTTCTATGTGGCTCAAATGTGAACTTAAACCGACAATGTGTGTGAACATGTGTTTCAAAGTTCAGCACACTCGAAGACTTTTGTGGTGACATTTGGTTTAGCACAGTAGGTTTATTACGCTGTGTCTTTTGCTTATCTGGTATGACAATTTCATTGCGATAGCAATTATATGGTCAGGCTCGGCTGGTTTTAGCCGTCACCACCATTGTCGTGGACGTGTATATATATATATATATATATATATATATATATATATATATATATATATATATATATATAGGCGAAAGAAGTGTATACCTAAGGGCTCGTTTTCCGTGTTTTGACACAATATTAATGAGATCTAACCGACAATAATGTCAAGGAATGTATAAGGGAAGTTGTTAGAACAAGTGTTATGTAAATAAGAAAAAATAGTGGAGAATAGTGGGTTTCATTCGCCCGAAACTAGAATATGCAAGCATCGTATGGGATCCCTACACAAAAACTAACATAAACGCTCTAGAGATGATTCAACGCCGAGCAGTTAGGTTCATTTTTTCTAAATATAGACTAACTGACTCTCCTAACGAAACAACATAATATCCAGACACTTCAGCTTCAAATGAAAATACACAGGCTAAAATTTCTCTACCATCTGAAAAACAACTCTTTCTCTTTGAACCCACACGCGTATGTGACACCACTTGCAGCACGTCGAACACGGCATCGACACGAATTTTCTTTAACACCATATAAGACCAAAACTAACCTTTTCAAATATTCCTTCTTTCCGCACACTATAAACAATCGGAATAATCTGCCTTTATCGTAACTAATAAGCGCAGATTCCATTGAACATATATCTACTTGATGTTTTACTATTTTCATGTTGATAAATTTTTCAGTTCTTATTTTTAGTGTTCCTTTTTTTGTATTTCAATTCTTTTTTTTGTATTTCAAGTGTCTTGAGTGGGTATAGGCAAATGTTTATGCGCATGCAATGTGTTCTTACTTGTGTTATTTGTTTCTGACGTTGTTTTCATTGATTATGTTTTTCGTATTTCTTCAGTGTACATCTTACTTAGTTGTGACTTCCTCCTTTCATTTTTTTTATTGCTGTTCATGTATATATACATATACATATATATATATACATATATATATTTATATTCATGTATTTGCCCTCCTGCTTGAACCCAAATGGGGTCTGCAGTATTGTATAACTAAATAAATAAATAAAAATTAACCAGCCTTGAGAAGGAATCGAGCTTACGACCTTCGATTTTTGTCCCCACAGAAGGCGGCAGCTTCTAGTGGTTGCGCGGTCAACACGAAAAACCAGGGCCACGATTCTACCTGGAGCGGTCGTGTTTTCTTACACCAACGTTTTGTAAACACACGTGAGATCGGATGGAAATAAGTTGGCTGCCAGCCCCACTTCGTATAACAATTGTAATATGTCACCATAGCCGCGCCGCAGCAAACTTGGTTACTTAGCAAGTGCTTCTTCACGACAATTACTATTAATCCTGAAAATGCTAGCCTTGCCTCGTAAAACACTTGAATATGTTGCTATCGCAATCATTGCTTTGCCCTTTTGGCAAAACTGTGGCATTTTTTAACACGTGGACAGCAGTGAACTGGTTTAGCCTTAGACAAAAAGACCATTATAGGAGCTCTGCGGCATCTTTGTGACCCCCCCCCCCCCTATTTAGCACCGGAACGTGCGTAGTCATGTGTGCTGAGATATGCAGCAATTATGATGCCAATTGGTGCAGGAAAAGTAAAATTATGAGTACTTGAAGTTCATAACTTGAGCAGATGACGAAGGAAAATGTTCCCTCTCACATTTCACTCACCCTATTACGTTAAAGACCACGTCCAATCAGTGCGTGCGTCTGATAAAGACATACCGGAAATGTCACCTCATATTGGCCTTCATACAGTACCTCGCTACCGCTCTTTTGATGGTGTCGTTAGGATGGTTATGACGGACCACGTACGCCAGGTCGCAGACAATCCTACAGCACCACAGACATGTCGTAAGGCGGGGGGACACTTCTCGGCTTCCATGCATGACGCGTTCTACAGCAAAGCCAGC